TGACGCTGTTTGGTGTCAGAGGTTTAGTACCGCAAAACATGCAGAAAATATTTATTATGTATACGTGTATTCATAAATCAAAATATTTGTTGAAGTCCCATATGAGCCTGGTTCCCTCCAACATTTTTGGTTGACTGGAGGCCTTTAGAGGCCAACAAAATTCGCCAAAATTTGTAGAGTATTTTTTCTTTTAGTTTACAGCCACCTTTACTTTTTACTACACGCAAAAAAAGGATACTCAAAAAAAAACACAGTAATGAATTTATTACCATTCACTTGTGTTGTAAAGTATTTAGAATTTATCTTTTACTAATTCAATCAATTGAAAAACTGTTGCTAATATACACAATTATATTTATGAAGTGCAGCTTGTTCCTTGCCAACGAGTGCGTACAGATCATTTGTAATAAAATCCCATCTCTTGGATTCCCTGCCTGACTCGGTTCGGTTCAACTCAAGGCTCTCAAGTGTTCTATTGCTTCATAGTTTTTTCTAAAAGGTTTTCATCTCGTTGCAATAGTTAATAGATCCTTCTTGCTTTCCGATACAATCTAAATTTCATATAATTTGCAATGCCGGCTACTCGGTTACGTTTCCATAACGTCAGGCCAATAATGTTTTGCCACTGACCTTTGAACTCATAAAACAAATCGCTTAAGGCTCTATAATGTTTACATAAATTTATAGATCTTTAAACATAAAGGTAGTATTATTATTTTTAAAACTCAACTATGGATTGATAAACCAGAAGTGACCATGAAAGTATTAAAATTTTTAATGTAACTTTGCCATTGTCGTTAGCTCATCTTGTAACAAACTCGGGATTTGCGACAATTGTAATAATTATGAAATACGGAGGTTGATATTTGCAATAAATAATGCTACCCCTTTATAGATTTGTGAAGTTTAATTTAATTGAAAGTGTTGCAATTAATTTTAAACAAACAACCAAGTAGCATATTTTTCTCCAATCTCGACAACTCCCAAGCAACGGTAATATTCTCTTCCACTTGTTTAAGTTGTAGTTGTCATCAAACAAATCTAAGTAAAAAAAACTCTATCGAGTACACAATATAGAATGTAAAAAAGATGTTTGCTAAAGTGAGCCATATTAAAATTATAAAATAAACAAAAGTATTCGTAAAGTTAAAGAAATCGAAAAATTGAAATTGAGTAGAAAAATGAGTATACTTCAAAAGTTACTATAAACTGCTCTGTATGCTTTGGTGCCTATCAATGCATCTACAACAGAAATCAGTAATAATAGGAAATAGACGTTTGGATATACAACAGCTGAATTGAAAATGTATGTAAAGTGGCATCGAACTATTCATATGTGGAAGGTTTACACAATACGTGTGAGCAATTACAAACTACAGTACCTTATTTGAGTACTAAAAAGTGCCAGTTTGCAGTGCTGATTTTAAATAGGTATTGGATTGATTTGCTATACAATGAAAGTACAAAGATTACTAGTATTAAACATGTAGTCCTTCCTTTGGTCTGCGGCTTCTCCGAACGAGTAACCTATAAACCCACCCCCGTGTGTCCCAACCAAATCAAATATAATCCAATTGTAATCATGTATATCTCCTATAGCGAAGAATAGAATATAGATTCTTGGCAGGACTGGGTAAAAAGTAAAAAAACAAAAAATTGCTCCCAGTGAGATGGTGGCCTGAGTGGGAGGCAGACACACCGCCATGACAAAATAGGACAGGGCTATTTTTATTATTTTCAGATTAAACACTACACCTGCGAAGTACCTATTGGTTACACCAAGAATATGGCCAGTGGGCCCAACACCTGACAGCATTGGGTTCTTCACTTTGATTATAATCCAGCTGTTGATCGAATCACGGCAATCAACACCCAGTGGCTGGGGTGCAAAAAAAAAAAAAGCGGAACATGGATAGGACCAGTGATTGTTGCCAAAGGCAAGGAAGAGGGAATTGCACCAAGCAAACATACCCTTTTTCTCGCCTACCTCTCTTTTTAACCTCTTGCTTATTATAAAAACCGGAGAGCTCCACATGAGCAACAGGGCATTTGGGCTTGGGCTTACATGGCTGAAAGCAAATCGTGGCAGTGTTCCAATATGTTGCTTTGGTGCAATAGCTGGAGTCACGGCATATGTGTTGCTTAACGACCAATGGATAGCCTATCGACGACAGCAACATATTGACAGACGCAAAAAGGAACATATGACATTGTTACCAGACACAACCGATGTAGCCTGCTCTGATCAGTCTCGATTTGCATCGCTTAATATTGGAGGCCGCTTTGTCAACCCCTTCGAGACATGGCGGGATAAGACTCTCTGGGACTTTGTCAAATGGTTAGTTACGCGAACTTCTGGAAACGGACTTCCTAAGGATCCACTGGAGATTGAAAAGGCACTGCCATTGGCTCGGCCCCACTTTGCTTTATTAAACGCACTCTCACGGACTACGGGTCCTAATTCTAGAACTATTATTGACGATGAGAGACTATCTGATGATCGGGATTATGTTGAATATCCGAATGCTGACTCGCTGGATCTTTCACGGACTATTACTGCTACGTGGCTGGGCCAGTCTACATGCTTTGTACAAATCGAGGGTCTGAACATATTGACAGATCCGATATTTAAACGGCGTACGGTGTTTTCTTGGCTGGGCCCCGAGCGTCTTCGCCCTGCACCCTGCCAACTAGAGGACTTGCCACATCCAGATATTGTCCTTGTGTCACATAATCACTTTGACCATCTAGATTTGGATGTAGTTCGCAAACTTGGCAATACTGTCACTTGGTATGTTCCACTCGGTCTGCGCAACTGGTTTGCACGCCATGGGGTTTACAAGGTCAAAGAGCTTGATTGGTGGCAAGAAGTAGATCACCAATTGGACAACGACCGTAAATTTCGAATAATTTCTACACCCACCCAGCATTGGAGCGGTCGTAACGGCCTTGACAGCAACAGCTCGTTGTGGTCAAGCTTTTTGGTCAAGGGTATGAACGCCTCGGTTTTCCACTGCGGTGATACCGGATATTGTCCCGCTTTTGAGGATGTTGGAAAGAAATATGGCCCGGTATCATTGGCGATTTTGCCCATTGGTAGCTATGAGCCGCGCTGGTACATGTGTCACCAGCATGTCAATCCAGACGATGCAGTTCGGATTCACAAAGACTTGCGCGCTATCAATTCTATTGGCGTTCATTGGGGTACGTTTATGATGTCTGACGAACACTACTTGGCTCCGCCTAGAGACCTTGCTACGGCTTGTTCCAAATACAATCTGGATGATGGCTCCTTTGTGGCCCCGCAGATCGGCAAGACTCGCCTGTATTTTTCTACCATAGACTAAGACAATTATGTTTTCAATGCGCAACTTGTTCATTAAACTCTTTGCCCATAGTTTAGTGATGAGACGATGCGCGCATTTGCAAAATGATATTTTCTTCTGATTTTATTGTTAGAGAGATCTGATAGCATGAGAAATCTGATATTAGTTTTTGTGACGCTTATTTGCCTTGTATTTTTTTTATCAGATAGTCTAGAATACCAACGAAGATAGTAGTTCTTTAAAAAAAAATGCGGATTGCAGTGATCGGCGGCATGGGATTAGTGGCACAAGAGCTGATTGTACAGGCAATGGAAGAAGGCCATTTTGTTAGTTGGTATCTTAAGCCCACCGACGAGCTGCCAGACCGAACGTTGGAAAGCGACGAGAGCTACATGCAGGTACTACGCATAGTGCGAGGAGACTGGGATGACGAGAGCAAATACAATGATGTTTTAGATGGTTGCGATGCAGTGGCAGTGGCGCTAGACATTCAGCACACTAAACCGGAGCAATTCGTGCCTACTCAGCGGTTAGTTCAAAAGGCCATGTGGAAAAATTCCATTAAGCGGATAGTGCTTGTAACAAGCCATGGCGCAGGCGAATCAAGCAGAAACCTGGACTGGGGATTTTGGGCAAAGCTCAATGTCAACCAGTTTTTCTACATATTTCTTAACATGATATCTCTGTGCTGGTCAGTAGTTGCCCAGTATACTGAACAGGAGAGTGTGTTATGTGGCGATGACCAGCTTGTTTTTACTATTATAAGACCTGCCACAGTCATCGATGGCCTTCTTACTGGTACTTATTTGGCTTCACCTCAGCATGTTTTTGGTGGTTATATCAGCGCTGCAGATGTCGCAGATTGTATTTTGAAGGCGCTAGACCATGATATGGATGCTGCGCAATCTTTCTCTATTGCATACTCTTCCCGTGTTGCCTAATGCTCTATATATCTTTAAAACAACTTTTGTCAAGTATAATAATATGTATCTGGGTAACTGCGAGTGGCAGACGGCTGCGCAGAAGTTCAGACAATGCAGTAAACTGGGAGAAGTGCTGGACATGGTTACAGATCGGTGCACAACAACGGTGCTGCTTACATATCTGGCGCAACGGTACAACTGTCGGCTTTTGGCAATATTATTCTGTTTGCTGATATCGCTTGACATTAGCAGCCACTACATGCAGATGTACAGCCAACTGATAACGGGGAAAACCAACCACAAGCAGATGGATGAGAATGCGCACTGGATATTGAAGGCATATTACACTGACCGGCGAGTCCTCTTTGGCTTTTGCTTTGGCAATGAAGCCTTCTTCCTCCTGCTCTACCTCAACAAGTTTTTACCGACATATGCGCTCTATCTATCGATTCCGCTCACTGTGGCTGCCTTTCCAATCTGCCTGATCAAAAATGTCATAAATGGCATTCAGCTCTACGAGTCCGCCAGTGACCTTGCCCGTCTGGATGCAGCAGAGATCAACAAGAGCAACTCCAAGCAAAAGTAAAGTGAGTAACTTGCGCAAGGGCCTTTTTCTTCTAATACACTATCCATCATCATTCGTTTGCAAAAATAAAAAGAAATTGAAGCAACTCAGCAACAAGCAATGCAATTTACTACAGCTCAGTCAGCACCTCCCACAGACATTAAACAAAAAAAAACTGCAAAACCGTGGAGGACCTGGGTATCGATCCCAGTACCTATTACATGCGAAGCAATCGCTCTACCATTTGAGCTAGACCCCCTTATTTGTACATATTTACATTTTAATTCCTGCTCAGTATACTTGTACCACTGCTTCAATATACCTTATACATGCCTTTTCCCAGCAGCTGCGCTGGCTGCATGATTGGCACGTTTCCTCCCTCCCTCCCCAATCACTAATCCCTCCTCTGTCTGCCAGCCCATTCAGACACAGCTAAGAACAATGGCATGTGCTAAACTGCATACTGCGTGAGATTGCTCCCTAATACGCACGGGCTGTGATTGCCACTCTGCAGACACGTTTGTTGGGACTCCTTCAAAGCCAAGCAATGTTATTTGGATACAAGTGGCATTGCTCATCCTCCCACAGGCAGCCAGTTGCTGCAGTGCCCATGCTTGGCTCTGCTATTGTCATTACAGCAACTACGCACAGGCACATATCCCCCCCCCCAATTGCTTGGTTTAACAGTGGCCACCATATACTACACCAATCCTCTCCCATCTGTGTTCCGCTCTCCATCTCCTTTCAAGTAGTGTACGCATTCTATACATTCAACAGACCAACAATAGACCAACAATAGACCAACAATAGACCAACAATAGACCCGCAATAGACCAGCTAAAGCTCAAAGCTAACATTTTGCACGCACACGTAGCACAGATCGCCCTTCGCGTCCTTTATCGAGCCACGCAAGAAGCCAATGGCTTTTGTGGTGCGCAGACACTCCATCTCTACTGACACCGTCGAGCCGACCGGCACACCAGAGAGGTAGTTTGTGGTGAGATCCGTCGACACAATGTTCCTGGCGCCGCCGGCAACCACCGCTGTGGCAATTTTGCCAGCCACGTTACACATGGTGAACACGCAGCCGCCGTGGATGGTGCCCCATGTGTTGCAGTCCGACGGCTCAACTTTGAACGAGAACACCAAGCGTACGCCGGTTATGCGGTCACCCTTTGAACCAGTCGGCTCAATCATCTGCAGCTTTAGCCGCGATATCGGCGGCGTTGTCAGCTTCACTCCTGCTGCAAGCTGCTCCTTCTGGCACTGATCCGCGCGTCGCACAAGCTCTGCATCGGACACTACTGACTGTGTTGTTACAACAACTGCTGCTGCTGCTGCTGCTGTCATTCTCTGGCAAGGCGTAAGAGTCTGGGCGGCGAATGAAGGGGAAAAGTGTCGAAGAAGCAAAGTACAGCGTGAAATTCGGTAAGCAAGAAATACTTCAAAAAATTAAGCAAGTAACACACAAAAGGCGCATAGGGAAGTGCAAACCATACAGAGGACGGACGCAACTTGGCGAGCCGCAGTGGAAATATTCCGCGCCTGCGACCCACACACGTGAAATGAAAGAGAAGCAGAGTCTACAAATGTGGCTGCGACTCCACCAGCAGCGGCTTGAAGAGCTTTGTGTGTGTTCCGACGGCAATGACCCTGGCTGGCTCGCCCTTGACTCGGAACACTGCCTTGGCATGCGGCTGCTGTGCATTGCGGTCCGACATGCTGCAGATAATCTCAACCACCGATCCAGCCCGGACCGGCGTAACAGCTTGCACGGCAATCGACGTCGACACGCTCTTGTTTCCGCGGATGCTGGCAATCAGCATCGCTGTAGTGTTGTCCGTTACTGTTGCCAAACAGCCCTCGTCAATGCATCCAGATGCGCCAATGTGCTCTTCTGTCACCAGCCATTCGGCTACAAGCCGCCCGCCAGCTGCACTTGCCCACATCACCTGCGGCCGGATCTCCATGCCGTAGTGCAGGTACTGGTTTACGTGTGCGTAGCGCCTATAAGAACTATAAATTAATATATCGTGACTCATCCCCATAGTTCAGTGTATCGAGCTTTTGCATATAAAGTTTGGAACAAGCAGAAATGTTGGTAGAATGATTTTTTAGTTTCTTAACATCACATTTCCTTCACACTCCCCTATTATAAACATGGCCAGTTCTGATGGCAACATTTGTAAAGTCGAGGGTGATTCCAAATTGGATATTAATGACGAGCATGAGAGTCGCAGTGAAGCAGAATCACAGAACAGCAGCCAGAGTAGTGACGAGGATGACGATCACATCGACATTACCCTTAGAGATGATATTCCAGAACAGCTTCTACCGCAAGTTGATCGACTCAGAGCACTACGCGCACGGTTAGCGAAGTCATCGCAAGATAACAAGCGCGAAATATACAAGGAGCATCAGCGGCAGCATGAGAACCCAGGCGAGCAGCGGCGACAGGAGAGGAAGCGCCGAGAGGCACTTATAATGAAAGCCAAGGAGGAACATTCTGGTTCAGATTATGAGCGATCACGATTCTGGGATTACTCAATAGAGCAAGTTGAGAATTATGAAGAGAAAAAGCGCAAGCGCGAAGTAAACAGGGAGCGCGGCTTTACAGACTATACTCAGGTCAATCAGCGCAAATATGAAAGAGATGTTGCTAAACTCAAACCAGATCTGACTGCCTACCAGCGTGGAAAGGCCGAGTCAAGCACAGGACAAATACCAGAATCAAGCGAGCCGCACAAACCAGATTCTCGGAGTTTAGACAAGCTAGCAAGGTCAGTCGAAGACCAGCAGAATCGACGCGCTACTTTGCACAAGGCATCTGTTGAAAAAGAAGGCGAGGATGTCTCTTACATTAACCAACGGAATGCGCGGTTTAACCGCAAGATGAACAGGGCATATGACAAATACACAAAAGAGATCCGCGATAGCTTTGAGCGCGGCACTGCCTTATAGTTGCAATTATTCGGAGTCCGATTTAACAGAATTTTACAACAATCCATAAAGAAAGGCGGGTAACTATATTAGAGAACAGCATCGTCTTCATTATAATCTGAATCGTCGTCACCAGAATCAGAATCGTCCTCGCTGTTGTGACGAAAAAACATCAGTGCAGGCGATCCAGCTCCGCCTCCTCTATCATCTAAATATATATCGGAAAGTTCAGTGCCGTAAAAGTCAGTATCGTCATCTAATGATCCAGAAATGTCGCTCTCGTCATCACCATATCGACTACCATCCCAGTCAAGTAGGATGCCCCGAGATTCAACATAATCTTCGTCGTTAAAATCGTGACATTCCACAAGGTTCAAATAATCCAGTTCCGGGCATGCGTCGACAATCTCCTCAATCCCCATGTTTGTGATATCCACGCAGCTTTCTAGAGCTAGATTGCATAATTTACAATTACTCTCGGCTATTGTAAAAAGCAATTCATCATCTGCCATAGTAAACGAGAGGTCCAATACTTCCAGATTTGGCATCATCTGTAGGACTTTTTTCATAGCTGGAACAGAGAATTTTGTCTCGGATAGGTGGAAGATAATTAACGACTTGCACATGTCCGGGTTGCTGCAGAACATTCTCTCAAATTCTGAAGAGCGAATATTTGAACACAGGTTTATATCCAGACTCACAAGCTTGTGGGTGAATTGGAACAGCCTTGACAGATTATCATAGTTCACAAGATCCCATCGTGCAGAAAGCATAGTTAGATCAAGTGTGTGCAATAGCCCGCCATAGTAAATATGATCTCCGAGTTGTATGGGTAGCTTGTGACCTGCTGTCTCCACAAGCAGTCGAAACTTATTGATATGCTTTAGTAATGGCCTCTTCCACAAAGCTGGGATGGCGTAGCACCATCCACGTTTGCACAAAAGACAGAGTGTATACAAGCTATTCATATCGTTGTGCAAATACGTAATGATTTGGGAAAATATGATATCGTTGTCCCAAACCTGTAATGAGGCATTGGTAGTTTTCACGTCCGTGCTCATCGCTCCCACTGAACAAAGTAAAGATACGAATAATCTTATTTAGAAGCGCTTAAATATGTAATTTAGCGCCATGGATTTCTCCACTTCCAATCAAAGAGGGAATATTATGTTTTTTGCAGTAACATTAGGCGTATGGGCATGGTCATACAGCTTTGTATCTTCGCATACAGCCACAGACCAAGGTGTATAATGCTTGCAATACAGCTTCATTTAAAGTAGTCCCATTTTAGTACATTGTTTATATTTAGCAAGCCATGATGCTTTTTTCCTAATCAAACAATAAACTACAGGTGAGTGACTGTGGAATATTCGATTAAACTAGCCACGCGACATGGTACAGATTAGCTCCATGGTCCCATGCAGGAGCGCATGCAGTGCGAGAAGTTCCAATGGCGACGGCAGCGCCAGTAGCACTCGCGCCATCTCCAGTTTGAAACAGGTCCGCCTACACGGGCCTCTGGGCTAGGATCAGCTTCGGGGTCAGCCATTGCAGCACCCATGGCCACGCAAGAGGTCAGCGAGAGTGCGGTCAAAATCGTGAGCTTCATAGTGAAACAGGTAATCTGGCTATCGTTTGATGGACAGAAAGGTTATTGTCGCAGTGGCGGTTAGAATTCGTAGATTTAAAAAAGATGGCGATAGAAGAAGAGCAAATGTGCTTAAAGAAACTAGGCTCCTTGTAGCAGGCCGTCTTTGCAGTTATATACTCCGCCTATGCCTCCACCAGCAGCTAAAAAAAGCACTGTGCGATTATGATACATCTGGCATCCGATACACCACCACATCAATCTGCTGTTTGCTGTAGCCATGAAGGAAACGTAGTAACAATGTGGAAAAGATATTTACGAGTTGATCCGATTTACTTCTGTAGCGCCAAATATGCCTGAGAACCATTTGGATGTTGATAACTGAACCCACGCTTAAGCTCAAGATTGCGACAGATGCCGATCTACAAGCGTTTGCTTGCAGATTAAAGAGCCTGCAGTCTCTAGAAATGTGTAAATTATTTGGAGGAGTCTGACGGCTCTCCATCCGAGCTGTCCTTATGTTTGGTACCAAACCCAACAGCTCGGCGCATTTTCGCGCCTAGCGACATCTTTTTTGATCCAGTTTCGGGATCATCCTCTTTAATTTGAGAGCGAATTCGCTTAAAGTCGATTTTGCGCTTCCCTGTCTCCTCATCTACTTTTGTTAACCAACGATCAGCCTTGTCAAGCATATTCTGGTCATTGCTGTCGCTGACATGCAGCTTATCCCT